TTCGCCAGACTAGTAATTAAGACGTTATTTATATAGGGAATTTATTCATTTAAGCTAATTATTAGTCTATCCATCATAACTTATAAAGTTTGTAGCCAATTTTCCGGTACTTCATGTACGTATATCTACATGTTCACTAAATGACAACTAAGTTACCATTATCAAGTGATTTTTCTAAATTCAAGCACACCCCGAGTGTATTTTTAGGAATGTTAATCCAGTTGACGGTATGAAATGACGATGTGACTTACACATACCACGATGACGTGACTTACATACACATGCCACAAAACTAGTGCATATGCTACCTAGTCATAATAAGTATTGAGCGTTTTTATTAACCTAGACAAGTTGAATATAATTTAAAAAAAAATTATATTTGAAACTTATTAGCAATTGGTTAACTACTAATCACATAATATATATCTCATTTACTCCGTATTTGTATTTAACCTAATAAAATCTTATAATCAATTTCATCAATAAACTAACACATAATCAATGAAACAAATAAAAGTGGGATATGGTTAATTAGCACGCAATAAATTTTCATTACGAATTTCAATAAGATAATGCAATTTGCTAATTAATACGTATGTACGTAGTTCATAATTCATAATAGAGTATAGGAATGTAGATTAATACGTAATGCACGTTTCCATGTCTAAGGGAAATGAGTTCATGCATGAAATTCTTTCCCATGTATACCATTCGATCGTTTATACGTACTTGTGATCCACTACTTTCCCTTAAACTTTGGCTACAATATCTTTCTAGGTCGGTGGCCATGACACTAGTTTGCAAGATGCGCGGGCGGCTATACCGTATTTCCAAACAGAATTGATATTGTTGTCTATATTATTATACATGTACAAAGAAAGAACTATACGGTCCGCTCTCTTCACTACTAATTAAGGTATCAGTCGTATCACAACATGTTTTCTTATCACGTTTTTTGAGATGGAAGTTAATTAGAATAGGTAATTGGATGAATTAATTTTCATTAGTAGTGAAGAGATGATAAACATTCTAGACTTTTTCAATATATTTTTTTTAATTTCAATACATTCTCTTATATGTCTTGGTTACTTATGCGTAGTATTTCAAATTTTCAAAGGAATAATTTTTCAACATAGTACATAATCGATCGACAATTATTATAATTCCATCTTACCTTAAATCTGGTGTACATAATATATATACGAAGTACTTTATAAATTATGGATAATTTGAAAATAATTAATCAACTTTCTAAGAAAAAAAAAAAAAACACACACACACAAATTAAGAATATACAAGTATCTCTAAAAACAATTATTTTGTCAAGGACTCAAAAAGGTCAATTTTCTTAGGGAGCTAAAGGCTTTATTTGGATTTGGAAGCAATTTCTAATCAATGTATAGTAGTAGCCCACTAATTGTTTACATTAATTAGCAATGATTTCTTCATTAAAACACTTTTTAAATTAAGATTTATGGATATGTAGGGCAGTACTATGTAGTACTCCACTACTAGTCCGTAGTTATGTACGTAGGGTGACTGGATGAGGAGCTTCCTCCTGCGGACCCCACCTTTTCCAACCGTTGGAGACTTGAGTTGGAGCTGACTAAAAAAGTGATACTACTTTGGGGTAAATCTCTAATAGCCGCATTTATTTATTTTGGAAAATTTGCTAATTGCATCTATTTAAAAGTTTGTATTTGTAAATTCCAGCTATTTAAAAAATAAAAAAATTGTAAATTGCAACCCAAAAGTACTTATAACATGTTAGTTGCCACCCAAATCAATTTTCTACTCGATTTGCGTGCTAAAAAATGTTCCGTAAAATTTTTAGGGGTCATTTTAGCCCTTATGCCTCCTAATTGAGCTCGAAATTGGCAAACAAAATAATGTAAAAACCTTGACGAAACATTTTTTGGTACGCAAATCAATGAAAAAATTGAATTGGGTGACAATTTACAAGTTATTAGTACTTTTGGACTGCAATTTGTAATTTTTTTTAAATGGCTACAATTTGCAAAATACAAACTTTAAATAGGTGCAATTGACAAATTTTTCATTTATTTTTGATACAAAAAATAGCCCATATATAATTTTACACTCTGACCGTATTACTCGTACATATATTCTATAAATCATATATGAACAACGTATTCTTTCCATTATTTCAAAATACTTACTAATTTAATTTTACAAATCTTGATAAATTATTAAATTGATACTCTATAATACGGAGTAAACTTTTACTCCGAAATTAAGCATGACCCAATTATTATAATCTTTTTAAAAATTATTACTATGCTATAATCTTAAATACGAGTCGACATAGAGAGATTATGAAATAAATAGTAGAATAAAAACATAATAAAAAAACTTATTATTAAAAATGTCATAGGAAAAGAATTGAAGATTTTAAATTTTTAATTATTTATCCTCCAATCATTAGACTAAAATCTTTTCTAATTTCCACAATCATTAGACTAAAAATCTTATGGGGAAAAAAAAAATAGTTAAAAGCCAGCTACCACCTCCATCCCCTTTCCCACTGATAGAAGAAATAAAAGAAATGACTAGTTAAAAGCCAGCTACCACTCCTATATTAGTGTTTTTATGATACATTGTACCAATTTCCCCTCATTAATATAAAAATAGGTGGTTGGAAACTTGGAATTTTATTGAAATAAAGAAAGGCAGAAAGTTGTTTGTCTAAATTGTGATCTCAAGAGTTTGGACATCAAAGTTTCTTTGTCTCTCTCTATAGAAATTCATGCTCAAATTATTACAACCCACATTGATCCCTAATAATGCAAGTAGAGATTATGTAAAAACTATAGTTTTGGTGATAGAATGCCGGCCCATTATTAGACGCGGATATCTAGCACTCTAGCCGGTTGTTTATGTGTATACCAACTACACGTCTGGATGTTAAAGGTCAATACTGAATTACTGATGGAATGTGTATGATAAATCACCAGAAAAAGTCATAAGTAACTAGTAACTTATGTAAAAAGCGTTAAAGTCAAATTGTGTCAACTAAAAAAGAAAAGAAGGAAGTACTTCTTTCGTTGTTCTTTAAAAATTATCTCATTTGACTTTTCAAAGTTTTTAAGTTACGGCATAATACTTTGTATACTTCGTACAAAAATATTTGTATGCGTATAAGTTATAATATATTGGTATTATAATAAAGTTGACATTAATAAATCTAACAAGTTCTCACATGAATATTATTTCTTATAAAATTCGTGAGATTCATGGTCAAAATGTTTGAAGTATGACCGATAAAATGCAAAGGGGTAGAGGAAGTATATATGTAGTGCCGATAAAGGCTATCAAATATATAGTCTCAAAACTTCCTAGTATTTAGACTTATACAATTGCTTGTATAATGAAACTCAAATTAAATTTGTTTTTTTATAATTATTTTCCATTATGTTAGAATGTTTTTACGTGTATTAAGAAATTAGTTAAATTTTGAAGGTCGCCCCCAAACTTGAGCGAATCCTAATTTTGAGTCTCAACATGAATTAGCAAATTCAAAAAAATGCACTTTAAATCTTATCGTAAAGAAGTAGTGAATTGCAACTTGTAGGTGTTTTTAGAAGTTAAAACCTAAAGAGTTGCTAAACGTATACATCAATTTGATCTCATAATAATACGAGTGCAATATAAATCATCTTATACTTTTTTTTTTTTTTTTTTTTGAAAGGTAAATCATCTTATACTAAGATATGATAAACATGTACACAGCATTTTTTATTTGAAAAATTGAAAATGAGAAAGATTATTAGCAATTGCAAGTGAAAGCATTAATTATTTAGCATGGGGAGGTTAGCTCATATGACTAGCTTGTCAAGGTCACATGACATGAACATGAACATGAACTTGAGGAATCCCCTTATTGGTGTCTTATATCCCGTGCATATCTCCTCGAAAAGGAAGGTTTGCTTTCTATGTGATCCCCCAAAAGTATGCTCAATTGCACATGATCTTAACAATCTTCTATCAACTTGTTTTATTTATTGATTGATACTTAAAATATATTTTAAAAAATGTTTCGTCAATTATTAGCAAATTAAGGCCATATGTTAATCTAACCGTACGTCCAACATCATCAAACTCCATGTTAATTTCTCTGTTTTGACTTTTAGTATAAGATTTACTTTTTAGCCTAAATGATGTCCTATATAATACTGAATTAGAATTGTTGTTTAGTATTTAGATTCTATAATGTTGGTAATAAAATAGTTGGATATTATAAAAACAACAAAAATCAAGCCGTAGCATGAACCAAACTCTAGAGACATAATTAGCTCTAAATAAAACTATAAGAATCTTGTACATGAAAAAGAAAATAGAGACTGAGCGCTAATGCATATAGTTGATAAATCACTTGGAATTTTGTTGCAAATTATTTAATACAAAATATTAATGTGAAGATTAATTTTGAGCTTTTTCCATGAGCTTTCTAACCGAGCTTGGCTCAGACTTGGTTTGCTAAGATCTCGAGGTAAGCCCGCTCGAACCAAATATTGACTAAGCCCAATATCTGAATAGTTCATGAGCATGCTTGATTTGTTAACAGATTTAACACCCCTGCTTATGAGTTATGACATATGTTGATGGCAATGGGTCGGATTCGTATCGGATTATGCAAAATCCGACTCCGACCCTACAAGATGTCGCATTTTTAATCTGCCTCCGCCTCTGACTTAGACATCTGATTCCAAGAATCCGACTCCGATCCGACTTAAATATTCAACCTCCGACTCCGACCCGATCCAACTCCGGCTCCGACTTAAAGTTAATTTTGACCCAATTATCAATAGCAACCCATATATAATCAACTTCAAAGACCTATAAATTCGTGAATTGAATAATAATAAATGTATAGTACATACATAGAAAAGTCAGAGTCGGATTGGATAAGTCAGATGCTAAGTAGACTCCGACCCGACCCTCCTCCAAGTCGGAGTTGGATTTTTAAAACGAAGTCCGATTCGGGTTATTTTTTCTCGGATTCGGTCGGATTTTTTTCTTCGGATCGGATTGGACTAGGGGCGGATTTGTACAGGATTGCCATCCCTAATGTTGAGTTAAAATATGTCTATATTTCCTCACGTATAGAAACACTTTTAGAAGAATAATAATGTACCCTTTCTGTAAATTGATAATTTGCAAGGGCATAAAGGGGATGTGATATAGTGGGATTGAAGAGGGTGCACTGAGAGAAAACCGATTGTTTTATACGTGTTAACCTGAATAAATACAACTTCCTTTCATACATCAATCAGAAGCGACTAAAGTTGGATCGTCAGCTAATAGGGCGCATGTAACTACAAGCCAATGCTAGTTTATCGTCTTTTAATTGTTTCCTTTAATTTTGTGTTAAGCTCCTGTCATTTTTTATTTTTTTTTTATTTTTTTTTGCGCAGATTAATTTCCTTAATATCTTTATTTATTATTTAGTAAGTATTTCGAATGATATATTGAGACGAATATAACAAGAAATTTTTCCGTTTTCACTCTAAACTCTAAAAAAAATGACCAAAGCATTATGTGTTTATAGTGGAAAAAAAGTTGCCATCACTAGTTAACCAAAAGCATTATGTGTTTATAGTGGAAAAAAAGAATGGAGGAAGGAATTACAAGTTAACAGATTATCAATTTATCATTAGGTTCATGGCATCACTAGTTGCCTCAGTAGAATTGAATCATGTAAAATCATGAATGGCCCAAAACTAAAAGCGGTAAGATCCAAGCCCAATTCAATAGCCCCTAAAGACAAGCCCAATTCTTCATCATCTTCTTCTTCCTCTCCCAACACCAGAATCCTGCAATTCAGCTTCTATCACTCTGATCAAACCATCTTCAAATACATTTCTCAAATTTTAGAGAGAGAAATTGAGGAGAGAGAAAGTGAGAAGAGAGAAATGTTGACACCGATAATAAATTCATGGGCGCCATCTCCAATGATGTATCCGTTCTTGGCGCCATCTGGTAACTGTAATTTCATTTATTTTCTTTTTTTTTTATTCAATTTTTGCTCAAATTACTGCTTTCTTGCTTTGATTTTCAATTTGATTGATTGATTGATTGGATTTAGGGCAATTTACAATGCTGAGATTAGTTTGATTGGTGCCGCCATTAAAGCTCCTTGATTACCTCCATTAAACCTTATTAGGTAACTACATTTCTATAATCTCGTTACATTTTCCCCCAATTTTTCCTTTTTAGGGATTTTATTTGAGAATTATCTTTACGTTATTTACATGAAGTTCTAATTATACTAGTTTAAATTTGTTATTTGTTCTGCTCTGAATTTTATCGATGTTTATAATTGCTAAAAAATGGAAGAATGAATGAAACTGGATTTTGAGCTCTGATGTCAAAGCTGAGAAAATTGGATTTAGAATTGAAGCAAAACTAGTGTGTGTTTAGGAAGGCATAATTATGCAAACACTTATTCACATTCCTCTTTTTTAATTATGGTTAGGGTTGGGGAGGGTAGGACTGGAGGTAGACATATGCTATAGTAGCACGGTTCCGTTTATTGTGGCTCTGTCTATAGTGTCATTTAGTTTGAACTTGTATGCAAATTTGTTAGAAAATCAACTCAACCAATAACTTAAGCTTAAGTTATTGGTTGAAGCCCGAGATTGGTTTATATACTCTATTAGCTGTTCAATTATGAATTTATGATACTAGAACTTGGAGAATAGGTTGCATTCTAGGATCAAAGGAAATATGATTGAGAAATAACCTTAGTTTTTGCTACCGTTTTGTGTTTTGGAAAACTTATAAAACATAGAAAAGTGAAAGAAGAAGAAGAGATGAGGGTGCGTAGTGGTTGGAGGCTTTCTTGAAAGAAGATAAATGTGACAGAAATAAAATGAAACTAGAGATTCTCCCCTCATGACTCATAGGAAGCAAGACTAGAGAGCAGAGAGCAAAGGTGGAGATTGGAAAAATGGATACATAGAGGAGATTGCCCTGCTTCGGGTTATTGTGGATGAGAAGAGAGGGAGGAATATGTAGAATTGGGTAGAGGCCCTAGAGTGTTTAGCTTGTGAAAAGGGGAGCAGATGTGTGCTATAGTTGTGCCTGATTTAAAGATGCGGTATAGTGGAAATTATGTATGCAAATGATTTCACATAAGCACAGATGCTCATTCAAAATAATTCAAATTAGGTCCTTTATAGTTACATGTTTGCATTTGATAGTCTATGTCTTATGGTGAATATAATGAAGGAAAGCATCCAAATGCACCACACATGTATTATTTACTCCTCCGAAGATGCTGAACTTGCTGATTGTTATTTGATAGTCCATGCTCATGCTATTTGCACTGTGAAGGAGGAATGCTTTCTTTGATTTGTGACGCTTTATGTTTAACCCACTCCATATTCCTTGGAAATCACTCATATGTTACAATGTTTAGATTTTTCCCTTACTAGATTGAGTTGGGTCTCTTAATCTCTCCTATTCTTTTTATAATAACCTTCTCTCAAATACTCGGTGTAGAGCACATACCCTGTTCATATGTGGTTATTGCAATTTGGCACGTTGGATTTCCATGCTCGTATCTGTTCTTTATATATTATTGTAAAAGTGTATGGATAGTGCTAAAGTTGTGTTGCAAATATTATAGTGGATGACGTACATAGTTCTGGGGCTGTAAGTGATGGCAATGAGTTGTTATACTTATTTATGTAATAAATTCTGTAGTTTAATTGCAAAAATTGAGTTTGTAAAATGTTTTATTTGTTATCCTTTTCTTTCCTCCTATATTCGTTCATTGAACTTCCAATTCTGCCAATGCTATTATTGATCATTTAATTTTACTTCCCTTCCTTAATCCTTTTCACCGAAGCATATCTATAATAAGCAATATAATTGAAGGTTAAAAACTATACTAATACTAGTTTAACATTAAAAGCCATATACAGCACATATATGCACCGTTGACTATGTTAAAATTATTCTCATGAATTCATCATCAAAAGCTAGTTACTCCATATATTATTGGTCACACGACTTGTTTAAACACAAACTAAGTAATTTAGCTAAATCCAACAATAGTTGATGGAACTGTAGTTTATATCAAATCATCCATGGAATCTTCACTACTGGTGACACCATACTTGCAGGTTTCTAAAGAGTAGAATACCATACCCTTTCCTTTAAACCTTGGAAGGTAGATCCTGTTGCTTATCCCAGTCTCCCTGCTAGTCAAAGCCGAAAACGAAGAAAAATGGCTGATAAAGAAACAGTGATTTTCTAGCCTTTTAACTGGAACCCTGTTCTGGTTCAATATGTCAAATCTAAACACATTAACCTATTTTCCCCAGTTTCCAATTAACACTGAATACAATGCTCCATTGCACTCGACTAGATGACATTTATGTAACTCACGAAGTCACAATCCTTCATATGATTCATCTCACTAGTCTTATCATAAACTTGCCACCTTTTGTTTCCGTTTGCCAATAATTCGAATGCTCCAAGTTTTCCATCTCTGTCAATGATGTAAAAGACTCCCTCGTAATAAACCGGACTGCTTATACTAGGATTAGTGCGATGAACTGTAAAAGTATAATTGCATCTCTTCCATTCTTCATCTCCATTTAGATGATAAAAAATCTGTAGATTGTAATGAATATCGATATCGATAAATGCAACAGTCACACAATCGGTAGAAGTTGGATAGGTTGAGAATCCGATACTTGTAAGATCCTTAAGCTCGCGATTAAGTGGGTATACACCCCACTCCCTTGTATAAGGATTATAGTATTGTAATGAAAATTGAGGTTTTTGAACTGTGATAAGTAGCCATCCATCCTTGTAAAACTCAATGATGCAAGAATCTCGAAATGGTTGGAACATGATGGAGCATGAATCATCTCGAAATGGGTCACTTACTTGACATGATCCGCTTTCATCCTTACAAGAGAGAAATAAGGGTAGATATTTATGATAGGTCCGTTGATACACAGTTTTATTAAGGCATTATGTATTGAAATAACTTGCAGCTGGCTCGCAAGTTCAAGTAATCAAACAAGTGCAGTTTCATCAAAATTAAAACTAGGACACCCAAGGGAAGCTTGTCGATCAATAACATGCTTTCCTTAATTCTTTTAGGCAGTGGCAGCTCATGGTTTGCAATAATGGTATTATTCTTTGCTCATTTTGGCAGCTCATGGTTTGCAATAATGGTATTGTTTCCTTGATCAAAGCTCACGGGTAGGTATGGGTAATTTTAATTTTTTTTTTTCACCAAATAAATTAGATTTATTGTGATAAACATGTTAGATAATTTTTTTTTTCTGGTGCACATAATTAGGTAACCTTTACCATATGGGATACTTTTACTTTTATGTCTATCTAGTTTTTAAGATCTGATAATTATGTATTTTTCTAATCATCAAAACTGTTGCTCTAAGTATATCAATTACGGATTATTATTATTATTACTAGATGAAAGCCCGTGCGATGCACGGTTTTTTATACATAAATCTCATGAAAAGATTATTTTCTTAATTTAACCCTATAAATTTTTTATTGTTTTGCTTGTTAGAAAACGGATAATTTGTTTTATTTTTATGCAACTTATAATGCGACCTTAATTTACTAATATTAGTTATATGAAAATTATAAGTATAATAGATATTAGAATAAAATCATAATCCTATTCGTATTTTTTTAACCTATGATTCGTTTGTATGATGAAAACACGTTGTTCCACTATACATATATAGTTATAGAATCACTATTTTTTTTCACAAACAATAACTTAGACCACTATTATTCTTTTACTCCGTATCAACTTTATATAATGAAAAATTAATAAAGTAAAACCAAAACTATAGGGTTAAAATAAAGACGGTGGAACCGTGGAAGTAATAGTAAAAGACATGACTTTATAAATTTTTAAATAGTTAAATGAAATATATATATACTACCAAGAGTGTTGCATTACTAAAATTAATCTAATTGAATAAAATTAATTCTTTATAATGAAATTTCATTATAATATGTCTTAAAAATAGAGTTATATATGTATACACTACTACAATGATTTTTACAATAATAATATAGATATTCTACCAGAAACTATAATACACAAAAAAAATCAAAATTATCGGAGACATCTCTTACAATCTTTAATTTTTTTTTCCCTACTATTGTAATATTATAGTTCACTTAGGGCTTGTTCTGATTTACTGAACTGAGTTGAAGTGAACTGAACTGAACTAATTGAAGCTGAACTGAACTGAATATTTTATGAGTGAAGGAAATTAGGAACTGAACTGAACTGAATATTTTATGAGAGAAGGAAATTAGGAACTGAACTGAACTGAACTGAAAATAAGCTGAAGTGAACATGCCTTTACTTTTCCAATAATTTCTTTCAATTGGCGCATGGACATATATAATCTATCCCTTCAAATACAGAATAATTAATATTAAGTTACAATTAAATTGTTTAACAAAATTTAATACGATAAGTAACATAATTAGATTAGGTAAAATAAAACAAAACATACATCTTATAAAATAATGAATAACAATCAATTTATTTTGTTTACCATCAGAAAGCCTTGATATACTTACATTATTTCCAATATTTTATGTTAATCAACGAATTAGACCTGAAGAAATTCACACCATGGAAAAGTGTAGATAAATAATATTCACATGTTTGTGTTTTTTGTATAGTATATGAATCAAAATTATATTTTTGAGAGGATGTATACAAATCTTTAATACATCCTATCTTATATATTTGTGGAATAGCAAATAAATCTCTTATAAAATTTTTTATCTAATCATGAAATGGGTTGCTAGATAAGATAAAAATTGAAGATTATTGTTTTTTTTTTTGAAGAATATTGATAAAGAGTGAACGTTATTGTTATTTATTTTTTTTGAAGAATATTGATTTTTTTTAAAAAAAAAATTGAAGAATATTAGTTAATTATTAATAATTTATATTTCTTTTAAAATGTTTTTTTTTTAAAAAATTGATTGAACGTTTTCTTAAGAACAAAATGAACATATATTTTCCTTTTTCAAATATTTAATTTTAAAGAGTTTGTATATAATAATTGAATAATTTATAGTTTTTTTTTTAAAATTTAAATCCAAATATCAAAAGATCATCTTTTAAAAAAGATAATTTTTAATTTTAAAATAATTTAAATCTTAATAAATCATTATTCGTCGTTTTTACCTACGTGGCAAAATTTTTAAATTTCATTCGTCAATTTTGCTTATGTGGCGAGTGAATTTTAATTCTAAAATAAAATACATATCTAACTTTTAATTGGTCGAAATAATACCGTGCGATGCACGAATTTTCATACATATATCTCAAGAAAAGATATTTTCTTACATACTCTAAGTTTTTTTTTATAATAATTTGAGTTATTTTACAATTTAATAATTTCAAACAAAAAAAAAAAATTTAATTAAAATGATATTGCCAATTACAAAAGTATAATTTTTTTAATGTAATTTATAATGCGACTTAATTTATTGTTGTTTTGTATTTTATTCATTATAGTTAGTTATACGACAATAATATGATATCTTTCAAAAAAAAAAAACAAAATTGTAAATATGATATTTCATTGATTACATATTAGGATAAAATCTTTAATGTGAAAAGATAATTATTTTTTATTTTTAAAATAATTTAAATCCTAAATCATTATTCGTTGCTTTTTACACTTGAAATTAAACTCTCAAATCTATATATTATTTTATATATTTCTTGTGATCTCTAACAAATTATCTGTCTTTTCAAATTTTTAGACATAAAATGTTTAAAGAAGGTAAAGTTTTTGATTACTTTGCTATTGTTTGCTAAGGATAATTTATGTAATTTATTCCCCTAATAAACATTTTGATAAAAACATTAAAAATAATAGTTATTAGATGTAATATTTCGATGTAAAAAAATTTGTATTAAAAAAAAATTCGATGGGATCACCAACTTTGTTCACACCCATACCTCTTCCATCTAATAAAAGTGGAAAATAGAACATGTTAGCAAAAATAAAATTGATATAAAATTAATTTTTATAGTCTTATAAAATAAATTAAAATATTTACTAGAAAGTGAATAATTGTTGTGAAATTAATCTAAAAATTGTAATTATACAAATTAAATCTTTGCATTGGAATTTTTCATCGTCCCCAATCGCCCAAACAATAGTATTTTTGAAAATTGAATCATTATTTTGTTGTCGTTGATAATGCGTGCGATTGTTTCTTATTTGTAACGATTGAAAAGTATCTAATGGAGTAAACTTTTCCTTCAATCAATTTTAAACAAAATTGTAGAACAAAGTTGAATTTAATTGAGGTATGAACGTAATCACCCTGTAATTAAAAATAAAAAATTAAGTTAATTTTATGACTTAATTAAGCTACCTAAATCACAAAAAATTTGTTTTAATTATAAAATTAATTGATAAAAACTAAATGGTTCATTAAAAGATTTAATAAATGTAAACGATTTATAAAGATATAATACCTCCTCATCCAATAGGATCATCAGGCGAGGAATTCGTACTTTGATTTTCCAAATGCTCGAATATAATTCTCTGATTAAATTAGATTTGCATGTAAAAACAAAATTCAGTAAACAAAACATAAACATATTATTATTAAGTATCCCAAATAAACACAATTTAAGCAATAATCACAAATATACATTTAAACATGGGTTTTAAAAATTAGGCTAAGAAT